ATTAGCCAGGGTGTAGAATGAGGAACCAGGAAGTCTTAATGCAACTTTATAAAACACTGGTTAGGCTACAGATGGAATACTGTGTGCAGTTCTGGTTGCTATGCTATCAGAAGGATTTGATCGCACTGGAGAGGGTACAGATGAGATTCACCAGAATGTTGTCTGGGATGAAAAGTCACAGTTTTGAAGAGTGACTGAATGAGTTGGGTTGTTATCCCTGGAGCAGAGAAGACTGAGGAGAGGTCTGATTGATCTATACTAAATTATGAGAGGCACAGTGTGGATCATAAGAGTCTTTTCCCTGTAGCAGATATGTCTAAGACTAGAAGACATAAGTTTAAGGTGAGAAGTAAGTGGTTTAGAGGAGATACGCAAACTCTTTCTTTCACTCAGAGAGTGGTAGAAATATGGAACATGCTTCCTGAGAGGATAGTGGAGGTGGTACTCTTGCAACTTTTAAAAAGCATCTAGATGAGCACTAAAATGTCAGGGCATCGTAGGCTGGGGACCAAGTGTAGGTAAATGGGATAAATGTAGTTTCGTGTTTGTTGGTCAGCATAGATATGGTGGGCCAAAGGGCCTGCTCGCACGCTGTATGACTCTATGGAACTATAAGAGACTCCAGATAGTAAGGACAATTAGATCTGCAGTTTATACCAGCATAGATACTGGATCTGGATACAGTGCCACACAAAGTTCAATGATATCACAAGATTAATCAAGTTCAATTAATGCATCCTTAGATGCCATTTCTTTCCAAATGAAACACAGACTGCTTCATTGACCAACTTTCATTCACTCATTATAACTCAGTATTCATCAATATTCTTGATTAAAAAAAAAATCACATTTATAACTTAAAGTTTCAGCCATGGTTCACTTAGGGCTTTATCACTCACACTTCTAGGCCACAGATTTGAGATTTAAGTCCTATTCCAGTTGAACACAAAAATCAAGGCAGGCATTCCACTGCCTTACTAATGGAGGACTACAATGCTAACTAACAGTGTCATCCTTTGGGGAGCTTTCCCATGTTCTGGTCAGTAGTTAACCTCAACCAATGTAACAAAGAGAGATTATTCGGTCATTATTCTATTGCTTTTTGAGTGTCTACTGTGCACAAACTGAGTGCATTTCCTGCATTACAACAATGACTACACTTTGTCATTGGCTATAAAGCACTTTAACCATGTTTGTTGTGTAAAATAGTGTGGCAAAACAAGTTTTTTTTTATTTCACCTGACCCTTATCTACCACTGCTGTAAAACACACCGCAATTCATGGCTTGCACATGGCAACTACAAACTATGATAAGCACATTATCCCAGTGACTGTATTATCCTGAGACACCTCCCACTCTCTTGCAGGACAAGAACATACACAAACAGAGGCGGGAGTATTTAACTAATAGTGGACAATAGGGATGCATTTCCTTAACACAGTGGAGGCGACAATGCTGACCATCATTGGAGTAGTCATGACTGAAGTCATTGACTGTGGTGGAAATGAAACTAATGAACGTTCAACAGCATTTTTATACATCACCCACTCACATTCTAAATGCTTTGTTTCACAATTTCTTCTGATTTACAAACTGCAAATCGTGTAGGATTCCTCATCCTGCCCTCTACTCTCATGACAAGCTTATAGCTTTATCTTTCTCCCTTCAGGTACAGCTAAACTGCCACCAGGCCAGACAGTGATGCATTAGGGTAAGCTGAAGAGGAATTAGAGATTGATAATGAAACACCATCACTCAGTCTCAGGTTTGAAAAACCAGCATAGGTATTGGCACTGCAGGTTCTTTAAGAGCATATGGAGAGGTGGGACTTGCAGAGAAACTAAGTCACCAAACATGGCTTCCAGTTAAGGCAGGGAGAAAGGATCATTAAGGTGCCAGCTCATGAGGGAGTGTTGACCAGGGCAGAAAACTCTGACTAGATCTTTGATGGGGTGACATCCAGGAAAAAAAGCTGATGAGCATGTAGAATGAAAAGCTGAGTACATTGGCTAGTCTGCAATTACTATCAAGAAAGAGGGAAACCAACAACAACTTGGCACAGAACTTTGTGCTAACATAGGAACTCATCGCCACTAATGCAGAGGTGGCAGCCAACTCAATGAGAAAACCCATAAGAGAATCAATGATAATGCAGCAACTGACAGTGAATATCTCAGCCTTCACTCCAATAGGAAAGCATCATGGCTATTTTTAAAACTTAAGACATTCTTACTACAGTAAAGATATTGTTAGGCCCTAAGGATGAGGTGCAAGCCAGGAATGTGATGGAACACTCACCACTTGTGTGAATCTGAGAACTCCAACAAAACTCAAGAAACTTCACATCATACAGAACAAAGCAACCTATCTGCATCTTGTCAAAGGTCCCACTATGCACTGGAGGTGAGAGGAATAAATGTTTAAGGTGGTGAATGGATTGCCGATGAAGTTGGCAGTTTTGGCCTGGACGGTGTTGAGTTTCTAGGACACTGTTAGGGCTGCACTCATTCTGGAAAATGCACTCATATTTGATTTGTGACTTGCTGATGGAATACAAGTTTTGAAGAGTGAGAATGTGAGTTACTTGGTGTAGGATTCCTAGCCTTCAATCTGTCCTTGTAACCATAGCATTTATATAGTTGCTCTTGTTCACTTTCTGGACAACAGTAACCCACAAGATGCTGACAAAATGTTTAGTGTCAAGTTTGGAAGCTATAAAAGCGTGCCTTCTGAAAAATACAGGAAAAGCTGGGTCCAGGTTCTTGGTGAATGAAACCATTTGCAAACTAGTGTTAATAGATTGCAATATAATGCTTTCTAAAGGAGTCAGCTCCTTCATTAGAATATTTCCCTCACCATTTTTTTCCTCGAGTCATAGGGTCATAGATATATGCATCACAGAAACAGACCCTTCAGTCCGACTCATCCGTGCCGACCAGATGTCCTAAATTAATTCAGACACATTTGCCAGCATTTGGCCCATATCCCTCTAAACCCTTCCTATTCAAATACTCATCCAGATGCCTTTTAAAATGTTGTAATCGTACCAGCCTCCACCATTTTCTTTGGAAGTTCTTTCCATACATGCACCATGCTCTGTGTGAAAAGGTTTCCCCTTAGGTCCCCTGTTAAATCTTTTCTCTCTCACCTTAAACCAATGCCCTCTAGTTTTGAAGTCCCCCACCTGGAGAAAAGACCTTGTCTACTTACCTTATCCATGTCCCCCTTTATGATTTTATAAACCTCTATAAGGTCACCCCCCTTCATGCCTCCGATGCTGCAGGGAAAATAGTCCCAGCCTAATCAGCCTCTCCCTATAGCTCAGACCCTCCAAACCTGGCAACATCCTTGTAAATCTTTTCTGAACCCTTTCAAGTTTTACAACATCCTTCCGATAGGATGGAGACTGGAATTGCATGCAATACTCCAAAAGTGGCCATACCAATGACCTCTCAACTTCTATATTCAATGCACTGACCTTAAGGCAAGCATACCAAACACCTTCTTCACTATCATAGAATCCCTACAGTGTGGAAGCAAGCCATTTGGCCCATCAAGTCCATACCGCTCCTCCAAAGAGCATCCCACCCAGACCCCCTACCCTATCCCTGTAACTCTGTATTTTTCCCATGGCTAATCCACATGTCCTACACATCCCTGGACACTATGAGCAATTTAGCATGGCCAACCCACCTAAGCTGCACATCTTTGGAGTGTGGGAGGAAACCACAGCACCAAGAGGAAACCCATACAGACACGGGGAGAATATGTAAACTCCACACAGATAATCGCCTGAGGCTAGAATCGACACGAGTCACTGGTGCTGTGAGGCACCAGTGCTAACCAGTGAGCCGCTGTGCCGCCCTACCTACCTGCAACTCCACGTTCAAGGAACAATGAATCTGCACTCCAAGGTCTCGTTGTTCAGCAACACTCCCCAGGACCTCACCATTAAGTTTATAAGTCCTGCCCTGATTTGCCTTTCCAAAATGCAGCACCTCACATTTATCTAAATTAAACTCCATCTGCCACTCCTTGGCCTATTAGCCCATCCGATCAAGATCCGTTGTACTCTGTGGTAACCTTCTTCACTGTCCACTACACCACCAATTTTGGTGTCATCTGCAAACTTACTAACCAAAGCTCCTAAGTTCCCATCCAATCAAATCCAAATTATTTATATAAATGACAAAAAGCAGTGGAACCAGCACTCATCCTTGTGGCACACCATTGGTTACAGGCCTGCAGTCTGAAAAGAGACCCTCCACCAACACCTTCTGTCTTCTACTTTCAAGTCAGTTCTGTATCCAAATAGTTAGTTCTCCCTGTATTCTGTGTGGCCTAACCTTGCTAACCGGTCTACCATGAGGAACTGTGTCGCACTTAATGAAGTCCATAATGTGTCACACTTAATGAAGTCCATAGATCACGTCCACTGCTCTGCTCTCATCAATCCTCTTTGTTACTTCTTCAGAAAAACTCAATCAAGTTAGTGAGACACGATTTCCCACGCACAAAGCCATGTTGACAATCCCTAAAGTAAGTCCTTGCCTTTCCAAATACATGTAAATCCTGTCCCTCAGGATTCCCTCCAACAACTTACACATCACCAATGTCAGGCTCACTGATCTATAGTTCCCTGGCTTTTCCTTACCACCTTTCTTAAACAGTGGCACAACGTAAGCCAGACTCCAGTCTTGTATCATTAACAGAGTATTGTCTTCATCACAATGTGTCTGGAAAGAGGAATAAGAATAACACTACACTTTAATTTCAAACTGATGTTACACACATGTTGTACTATTATAAGTTTTAACCAAAGTAGCAGAAAAAAGACACTTGTCCCAACACTGTTCCCAGTCAAATGGAGCCCCCATTAGTTCCAAATTAAACAGATTAATCTATTGTAGTCACTGGAGGTGAATTATATGTTTATAGGAAGTGGAAATAATACTCCACTTGGATTGGAGTTATAAGAATAATTTTGCTTTGATATTACCTACGCTGATGCCCACATTACTCTTCTCATAACCTGGTGAAGGTAATGTGTTCTCTATGTAACCAAACTGGGGTGGAGACCACAAGACAAAAATCAGTTCATCGCTAGCAGTATCTGGATCACTAGCACACAAGTGGCTGACAGTGATAGCAGCTGACGATCCTTCTTCAACAATAAAGGTTTCACCTGGAATGAGACAATCAGATGGAAACAAATTTCATTTGACGTGAATGCAAAGCAATCACTATTGTTCACTCTAGGAGAACATTCTAGGAGAAAGAATCACCCTCTTGACAGATTAGGTGTCTTTGTATAACAACAAAAGTAACGAAGCTGCAAAGAGCTAAAAATAGTCAACACTAAAAACACTTATCTTAACACAATGATATTTTATTAAATTAAATTTCAAATAATATTAAAATTTTTAAATAACATTTTGTCACTGACTACTTGAATTTATTCTTTTGAGAGTGAACTGTTCAATTGTTTTCATACTTCACAAGTGGCACACGTCTTTTTAATCCAAACCTCTTGAAATAAACGCCAAAAATCTATTAATAATTTGAAACGTTTCCTATGCCTGTTCACTCATATTCTGAGAGTTTTGAATTTGGGTCTGTATATTTCTTGGTGATTCCACAGTAAAATACTTGGATTTATTGAGGTAGATAAAGCAGTTAAGGTGGTATTTGGGATACTTCTCTTTATTAGCTGAGACATAGAGCTTAAAAGTAAGGAGGTGCTGCTGGAACTGTTGAAAAAAATCATTGGATAGGCCTCAGCAAGAATACTATGTGCAGTCCTGAAATCCACATTGCAAGAGGGATGTGATTGCACAGGAAAGGATGCAGAAGAGATTTACCAAGATATTGTCTGGACTGGAGAATTTCAGTTATGAACAGAGATGCGATAGATTGGGATTATTTTCCTTGGAGTAGAGGAGACTGAGGAGTGGGGACATGATTGAGGTGTATAAAGGTTATAAGCTGCATAGACAGGATAAATGGGTAGAAACTTTTCCCTTTTGAGGAAGGATCAGGAAGCATAGATTTAAGGTAAGGAACGGGAGGTTTGGATGGTATGCCGAAACATTTTTCACCCGGGGTGGTGGAAATCTGAAACTCTGCCTGTTAGGGTGGTCGAGGTACAGGTACAAAATCTCATAACATTTTAAAAAATATTTAAATGTATATTTGCAATGCAAGGCATACAAGGATATAGGCCAAGTGCTGGAAAATAAGATAAGAATAGTTAGGCGGCTGTTTTTGACAAGCTCAGACATGATTGGCCAAAGGCCTTCTTCCTGTGCTGTAAAACCTCGATGATTCTATTTTATTTGGTTTTAAACAGATAGTATCATAGTTCTCCATATTGAACTCTACCCGCCCAGTCATTTGTACTAACATTTTTCTGCAACTTTCTACTGTATTCCACTACACTTAAAAAACAAGAGAACTGCAGGTGTTGGAAAACAGAAACAAAAGAACATAAGAACATAAGAAATAGGAGCAGGAGTAGGCTGTCTCCTCAAGCCTGCTCCACCATTTAATAAGATTATGACTGACCTTTTTTGTGGACTCAACTCTGCTTGCCCACATGCTCACCATAACGTTTAATTCCTTTACAGTTCAAAAATCTATCTTTTCCTTAAAAACATTCAATGAGGTAGCCTCAACTGCTTCACTGAGTAGGGAATTCCACAGATTCAAAACCTTTTGGAAGAAGAAGATCCTCTTCAGCTTATTCCTAAATCTACTCCCCCTCATTTTGATGCTTAAGTCCCCTGGTTCTAGTTTCACCGCCAGTGGAAACAACCTCCCTGCTTCTATCTTATGTACTCCCTTAATATCTTTATCTGTTTCTATTAGACTCCCCCTCTTATAACAAAACATAAATTGCTCAACAGGTCTGGCAGCATCCACGGAGAGAAATTAGTGTTAATGTTTCGGGTCCAGTGACTCTTCCTTAGAATTGATGGTAGCTAGGAAAATGTTTGTTTTTATGCAGAAGATAGGGTGGGGGGAAGGGGTAAGGAGTAAACAATAAGCGGACTTAGAGTCCAAAGAGAGAGAAGGACAGTTGCTCAGACAAAGGAGTGGATAAACAGCCATGCTAAGAGGATTGAATAGCTATTAATGGGGACTGTTAGTAGCTAATAATCGGTTGTGTGTAATAGCAGACGCGGTGATAACAAAGCCTTTACATTTACTCTGTTCTTCAATGTTGTAATATTACCATCTCAGATATGAAGTTCTCTGTTCCTTCAGCCCCATTTAAAGGCTATAAGTACTCCTGTATTAACATGCTGTTTTGTGCAGACAGTGTGGATCTGTCCGGTGAAAGACATTTTGCTGTACAGCGCATACCTAGATGTCAATCTGACACCTATAGCAAACACACTGCACATATATTCAACTAAATTGTCATGTCAGAAAGTGGAAGGGTCTAGACCTCCGTCCTATCTAGTGGAGGCTGCTGGTCATGAGGTCTGATCACATTAGTTAGTGGCCTCTAAATTATTTTCTTTGGTGTGTGGACCTCTAAGGTCAGTGTGTGGCTGTGATTTCTAAACCTGGAAGTTATACCGATTAGCATGCGTGGAATCTGTGAGAGGCTGCATAGCCACTTAGAGGAAACATTGGATATGACATCATTGCTACCACAGAGACATTGCTGAGGGAGGGGCAGGTATAGCAGCTCAATATTCAAGGGTGTAGAACCTTCAGGTGAGACATGGGGACCTTGCTGTGCATGTCCATAAATCCTTGAAGGCAACACAGCAGGTGAATAAAGGTTATTAAGAAGGCATATGGGATACTTGTCTTCATTAGTTGAGGCAATAACTTTAAAATAAAGGGAGGTTGTAACGGAGCTGTGTAAGACAGCGGTCAGGCCACACCTAGAGAAATGTGAGCGTTCTGGTCACCACACTATAGGAAGGATGTGATTGCACTCAAAAGAGGATGCAGAGGAGATTCACTAGGATGCTGCCTGGGCAGCAGCAATTCAGCTATGAAGAGAGAATAGAAGGGTCTATTCTCCCCTTTAGTGGAGGGATCAAAAACCAAGAGTACATATTTAGCCTAGAAGGCAGATGGTTGAGAGGGGATTGGAGGACTTTTTTTTTCTACCAGAGGATGGTGGGTATCTGCCTTAAAGGGTGGTAAAGGCAGGAACCATCACAACATTTAGGAAATATTTAAATGATCATTCGAAGCACTATAGCATGCTACATTAGGGGTCAAGTGCTGGAAAATTGGACGAGAGTAGATGACCAGTGCAGACACAATAGGCTGAAGGATTTATTCCCATCTTATAAAATCCTATGACTCTATGATGGGTCTCCACATGGGGGAGATGGGTGGAAATGGGCTGATTGGGTAGTGCAAGCTACCAGGCGACAGGGTGGCTCTGGGGGTGGGGTTACCTGGCAACCAGGCAGAACCCAGTCCTCACAAAGTTGACCACGATATATGTTTCCTCCCATCACTTGCTGTTAACTAGGCACTAAGTGCAACTGAAAAATGGCTGAGACAATGGCCAGGTTGGCTGGAATCAGTGATAACAAGGAGTAGAGCGAGATGAACACAGCAGGCCACCAGCATCAGAGGAGCAGGAAGGCTGACGTTTCGGGCCTAGACCCTTCATCAGAAATGAGGGAGGGGAAGGGGGTTCTGAAATAAATAGGGAGAGAGGGGGAGGCGGATAGAAGATGGATAGAGGAGAAGATAGGTGGAGAGGAAACAAACAGGTCAAAGAGGCGGGGATGGAGCCAGTAAAGGTGAGTGTAGGTGGGGAGTTAGGAAGGGGATAGGTCAGTCCAGGGAGGGCGGACAGGTCAAGGGGGCGGGATGAGGTTAGTAGGTAGGAGATGGGGGTGTGGCTTGAGGTGGGAGGAGGGGATAGGTGGGAGGAAGAACAGGTTAGGGAGGCGGGGAAGATCTGGGCTGGTTTTGGGATGCGGTAGGGGGAGGGGAGATTTGGAAGCTTGTGAAATCCACATTGATACCAAGCGGAATATGAGCTGCTGTTCCTGCAACCTTTGGGTGGCATCATTGTGGCACTGCAGGAGGCCCAGGACGGACATGTCGTCTGAGGAATGGGAAGGGGAGTTGAAATGGTTCACGACTGGGAGGTGCAGTTGTTTATTGCGAACCGAGCGTAGGTGTTCTGCAAAGCGGTCCCCGAGCCTCCGCTTGGTTTCCCCGATGTAGAGAAGGCCACAACAGGTACAGCGGATGCAGTAT